ATACTTTTTAGCTTATCCTACACCGATTAGATTAATGTATCGCGTTATTGTAATGCAGGACACTCGTATTACTCTCGAGTCAGTTGTCTCTCACCTGAGACATGTAACGTGCGCCTCTAGACTGGACAGTATTTTTCTCTCCACTCTCTCTCTCGAGTAGGTGATCCAACTCTTTATATATCATTCATGAAATTAGGGAATTAGGTTACCGACCTAATTACCCAACAATTCAAAAGTGTAACGTGATGTTTCTGCAGCGCGTGCATTTTTGATTTACTTGCCGTATTTCGCAGTGTTCGTTTATGCAACACGTGCATTTCGGCTGCAACGTCTTTTAGCGTTTCATCATGTTTTGTCCTACATAACAATTATAACGAGCACTAATTTATTTGTTAAACTCCCGAAATCTTATAATCAAGCGCGGGATGCGCGACAGGCACGAACGTCGCGGGCAAAAGACCGGAAGAAGAATTCCCTCTCGCACGGTCTTTTCCGGTCTTTTTATAATAGTTGTTAGACTTTATCGGAGGTTGCCTTAGCAACAAAGAAGTTGCTAAATTTGGGATTAGCCCAGCACGTTTCAGGTCAAAGGCCGAGGCGGAATGTGCAAGGTGGTGCTTAGCGCAGCACTTGCACATCCGCTGCCGAGTGTAGCGCGGTCGAAACGGTTCTTTGTGAAGCGTTTCAGCAGCGCCTAAAATAATATTTTATCTTACGATTATAACAGATATTTGCGGAAATTATTCAATAATTTCTTACTCGAATTCTATCAACTTTACAGAAAAACGGCAAGATATAAAAATTGCTTATTTTTATTTCATAGAGCTTTCAGAATTTTTCAGAATTTTTTATTAACTTTTTAGTACTGCATTTTCTTACATTTTCTTAAAATATGAAAAAATTTTTCAAACGAAAGTTGTTTATGTAGAATAAAATTCCGTAATAAAAAATACATATTTCTATTTAAAAAACCAAAGTTGACTTTGACCTGACCTTGGCGACGCCACCTAAGGTCAAACTGCTAACATCACTAAATACACTACATTATATATTGCAACTTTTGTCTGAAATATTTTTCTCAAAAGCGCATACTTTCCGAGATATTCAGCCGGTCCGGGACATATGGGACACCCTGTATAATGACGACAACGACATTCAGCGAATGGTTGTGTTGTGCTTGGGCAAGATGGTTAATAATCGGGCTCCGATGCCAGGCACGGACAGAGGCAAAGGTGGCCGTAAGTGAAAGAATCTTGAAATATAAATAAATATCTTATAACTTTATTCAACTGTTGTTCTTCTTCTCCTCGGCTTACAGTCTGACACTCGCTGCGCTCGCGGGTCGCGGTTACAATTTAGTCGACGCTCGCTTAGTTCGCGGGTCGCGTTTATAATTACCGACGTTGCGTATCATGCGCGTACTTCGACTGAACAAGATCTCTTTTGAGTGGCTGGTCCTACTCTTTAATATTATCCGCGTAATTAGGTTACTGGGTTGATACCAGTGAATACCTAACGGATTATGTATAAAGGAAAAGTGTAATGCGATGCTGTTCTGCAGTATGTGTACTTTTCTTGCAGCATTTGTAATTCTACTTGCTTTAATTCAGTCAAAGTGTTATTGGGATGATAATATCATCATGATACGTATATAGGCTAAGAACGAGCGCAAAATAGCGAAAACGTCATAAATACTCCATTTTCTTCTTAAAAGAGGGGAGGGATATTGCAGTGTGCCACTGCCCCAATAACATTTTGACCGAATTAAAGAAAGTAGAATTACAAATGCTGCAAGAAAAGTATACACACTGCAGAACAGCATCGCATTACACTTTTCCTATCTACCAAAATCTCTTCGCGATTTTGTTCCGCGGGATTGCTTGATTCGGCATGATTCGCGTTATTGAAGGTCCGATTTACTGGCTGACTTAGTCCTGGTTGCGGATTCTCTATTTCATATTCGGCTCGTAGCCTATTGATTTCCCTATCGATTTCACCGCTTTCTGTCACGCGCGTCTTTCTACGTGGTGAGTTATTCATATTGTTCTCGTCTTCGTCTTGTTGTGCTCTTGGTGGCGCCGAGCACAACGGGTAGTTGGGCTTCGGTGCTAGCGTGCAAACAGTGCAGGGTGGTCGTGGAGAATAAGTAGTCGTGGAATTTTAATAAAGTTTGCGATATAATTTATTTGGTTTCTCTTCTTATAACTCCTTAATAATTCTTTTGTTGTATTCGTATTTACACTTATGTAGTTTTGACTCGTGTTACACTGTTTAGGTTAGCGTTATCGCGTTATCGTTATGTTTGACACATTATTCGCGAGTCGGTTATCTCATATCTCTTAGTGTAACGCGATGTTTTATGCAGCGCGTGCACTTTTGATTTGCTTGCCGTATTACGCGCTGTCTATTTATGTAACGCGTGCATTTTGGCTAAAACATCTTTTAGCGTTTCATCATGGTTGTCCTACATAACATCCCTCCCCCCTTGAAAAAAGAAAACGCAATATTTTTACGTTGTTTTCGCTATCCTTATTCTAAGTACATTTGTTTTTTCGTTTTTTACAATTTTTTATTTATAATCGTTTGCTTATTTCTATAGTCGTTTTATGGTTGTTCTATGCTATGTCTACATTTTAGTGAGGATATGGTAGGTATGGATGGTTTATAATGTACTGGTAATCTTGGAGTAATTTCACTAATTTCGCTTTCTATAATAGATACGGATGGCCTTTGTTGAGATACCCTTGCTTTTTGTTCGAGATCATGTTGTATTTTAATGTCGGGGTATCTTAATTTGTTTATTTTTCTTAATAAAAATATTACAATTATTATTATAATTATGATAATTATGCCACTCGGTGCGGTAGTATAAACTAAATGTTTGTAGTTTGTAAATATACTTGGGTTACTTGAGTTTTCTAAATCTTTTTGTGTTTGTGTTATTTCTCTACTTAAGTCGGTTAATTCCGTCGGATTTTGAATAATTTTTTTCATCTTTAGTCGCGGTATTGTGTTATTTATTGTGTCTATTTGTTCTTTTGCTATGGTTATATTATATTCCGGTATGTATGTTTCTATTATTTTATCTTCTATTACTCCTTGTGCTTGTATTGTTATTTCGTTTATTATTAATTTACATTGTTCCTTGAATTTTATTATTCCTGTATTCTTGATTTTGTTGTAATAATTTTTATTTTTACATTGAATATGTATGTTTTGTTCATTCCGGGTAGAATATAACCATGCATTTCTTTCTTTTAGTGCGATCAATACTGTGTGGTTGGCGAGAATATATTTTGTGTGACAATTTCCCGTTTTTTCTAAAGTCATAAATAAATGAACTTCGCATGGTGAGTCCGCTTGAATTTTATATATTGGATTCCCCTGTCCACAAATATAATGATCGCTAATTTTTTTACATTCTTGTAAATCGTTGTCGCTTATCACTAAATATGAATTCGCTTCTTTATTAATCGCAATTTTATTATAAGTAATTTCGGTCCATGCGAATGTGTCGTTTCCCGTGTATATTGGTAACGGAAGAATGTTTATTATATCGTAAATAGGATACGTTATTAGTGGTATCTTTAATACTGTAAAAATATTTCCTTTTTGATAATACGCATTTAGTGTTATAAATTTTTCAATTTCTAACCAGTTTTTTGTCGAGATTCTAAATGGAAAATGTAAGTTCTGTGGTACACGAATTGCCGCTTCTTTTATTTGAGAGATAATATCATTAATGAGTGTTATTTGTATTGGTAAGTACCCTTGTTTAATGTTATTTAAATAAGTTAGTATGTCATTTTGGTCTTGTACTAAATTGTTCAAGGCTGCATCAAGTAATATAAAGTGTTCGTCCAAATGTTGTCGTGAAACAAGTTCTGTTTGTGAGTCACCTATTTGTGTTATGCTGTCCCATATTGTTTTTTCATTCTTTTGTATGGTGTTTTCTGATTTTTCTAAATGTCCTACTGTTGCGTTTAGTATCTTTAGCTGATTTGTCGCGTGTTTTAATGTTTCTTGTCTATTTTCTAGAAGTTGTAGTTGCTCGTTTATAATTTTTTCGTCATTTGCGTCCATCGTCCCGAAAAGAGATTTAGTTAACATACCTATACTGTCTATTAATCCGCGTCGGCGATTTGGTATTATTGAATGTATTTCGTATATTTGATTCATTATTTGTCGTGTTCGGTCTAGTCGTGTTTTTACTATTTTGTATAGATTGTTACATGTTTTCCCAGTTTTTGTTGTTATTCCCTGTATATCACACATTTTTTTTGTATTTTCAAGGTATTCTTCTAATTGATCTCGTCGAATGTCTAGTGTTTTCAAATTTACTTTAATAACTATTTTCCAGGTGGATGCGATTTGGTATAACTGACCTTGTTTGTCGAAATATATGCCCGGTGTATGCGTAAACTTTTGGATTTCATATGAAGATTTTTCTTGTACTTCTTCCGTCATGAGCCCGGTGCTCTTTATCAGGATGAGTATTCTGTAATTAGATCGTAGATGAGGTGAATACTTAGTACTTTTATTGTTCTATGTATAATTTTAGCCTATGTCGTGCCCTTTTTTGGAGGGCACGAAGAGAAGGATCCGGAATCGGTGTTGCGGGTGTGACAAAGTGCGTGGCGGTGGGAGTATTCCGTACGCAAGATTGTAGTCGTAGTGATTTATATAAAAGAACTTTATTATACTTGTTACTCGTGTGATTATTGAGCTCCCGAACTCTAGTAGTGATGTGACGGCCACGTACGTCGCTGACGAGAGACCAGAGGGAGAATCCTGCTTTTGCGCTCTTCTCCGTTCTTTTTATAGTTCTTTAATTAGTCGTTTTATCGGAGGGGATGTTTTGGCAACAAGGGAGTTGCCAAATTTGGTACTGATCTGGCCCAAAGCTCGATGTACGACATGTCCAAGGTGATGCTTAGTGCAGCATTTGCACAACCATAACAGCGTTGTAGCGCTGTCGAAACGGTTTCTCATGAAACGTTTCGACAACGCTAAAAATAATATTCACGGTTATAACATTCCTCCCCTCATGGAAAAAGAAAACGGAGAGTCTGAAACGACGTTTTCGTCTTTTTCGAGTTGCGACTGCTTTTTGTCTTTATACAATTTTCCCGTTTTACAATGTTGGTTATAATCGTGTCGTATCCTATTCTTTACTTATTTTTACATTTTTCGCTTGTTACAATTTTATTTTCCCCGTGTACAAATATGATTACAATCGTATGCTACTTATAACTGTACGTGTAGACTATGTCTGCGTGCTAGTGCAGGAATTGTAGGTATATTTGATTTGGCACGCGTTCTCATGTTTCGTTTGGTGTTACGTTCTATTATGATCAGAAGGTTTTTTCTCTTTTTTATTTTCTTTACTATGAATATTGCAATTGTAATTACTATTATCACGGTTATTCCGCTCGGTGCTGTAGTATATATTATATTTTTATAGCGTGTCAAGGAGTTCGAGCTATTTTCTAAATTTTGATATGTTTGTGCTATCTTATTGCTTAGTTCCGTTAATTCTGATGGATTTTGTATTATTTTGTTCGGTTTCACATATAGTATTTCGTTTTTATTTTTAATTGTGTTTATATATTCTTGTTCCAGTGTTATATTCTGGTATGTGTGTTTGTATTGAAATGCTTCTTACGATACCTAGCGCTTGTAATATAATATTCTCAACTGTTAACATCTACATTGGTCTTTAATATTTATAATTCCCGTTTTGTTGATTTTTTCATAAAATACTTTTTCTCGACATTGAATGTAAGCGGTTTGCTTGCTACTGGTGGAATATAACCACGCATTTTTTGTGTTAACTCAATTATAAAGGTATGGTTAGCTGAAATATATTTTGTATGACAGTTTTTTATGTTCCTTAGTTTTGTATACATTTGAATTTTGCAAGGTGATTCCGTATTAATTCTGTATATAGCGTTTTGTTGTGGACAAATATATTGGTTATTGAATTTTATACAGTTTGTTAGCTTGTTTTCTTGTAGTGTTAAATATGTGTTTGTCTCCTGATTAATTGCTATTTTGGTGTGAATAATATCGATTAATGCAAAAATGTTATCATGGCTGTGTACCGGAAAAGGATGTATGTGTATTATTTCATATGTAGGGTAAGTTATGAGAGGTAAGTTCAGAATAGTAAAAATATTTTTATTTCTGTAATACGCGCTAATTGTAAGGAATTTAGTTCTAACCAGTTTTCATTTCTAGGTGTGAACGGGAAGTGTATGCCCTTTGGTATATGGTATGGCATTGATATTTCTTGTAGTTGGGACACGATGCTGTTTATCGGTGTTAGTTTGGTTGGTAATTTCTCTAATTTTATATTATCTAAGTAATTGATTATATGGTCCTCATCGCGTATTAGGTCGTTGAGTAAAGCGTTGAGTACGGTAAAATGTTCGTCTATTTGCTGTCTTAATATGAATCCGGTTTCGCCTGTATAAAGTTGTGCTATACTATTCCATATTATTTTTTCATTTGTGTCTAATGTTTTTCTAAATTGTCTAGATGGTCTGTTGTTGTGTTGATAATTTTTAGTTGGTTTGTTACGGCGTGTTGCAAGGTTTCTTGCTTATTCTCTAATAAATTTAATTGTTCGTTTATTGTTTTCTCATCGCTGGTGTTCATTATACCGAACAATGATTTTGCTAATGACTCTATTCCGCCTATTAATCTTCGTCTTGCGTTTTTCGGGGTTTTGTATACGCTATGTATTCGTTTTGTCATATTGTGTATGCGGTCTAGATTCTTTTATACAATTTTACGTGAGTTGTTACACATCTCCCATATAGTGCTTGTCTTCTTTTGCTGACTACAAATTCTTCCTGCGCTGCTAAGGTATCCTTGTATTTGGTTACGTCGACTGTCTATCGTCTGTATGTCCATTTTGATTACTGTTTTCCACGTAGAAACTACTTGATACAGTTGACTTTGTATATCGTAATACACTCCAGATGCATGTGTGAATTTGATGATCTCGTATGGGGTCTCTGTTTGCATTCTAAGGTTGACACTTTTTATCAGACTGAATACCCTGGAAGTATATCAATATCATTCAGGTGTTGAGATAAATATGATACTCTTTATTATATTGCTTATTCGTTTGTTTGCGTGTGTGTCGCGTCTACGTTGGCGACAGGTGCATCTCTCAGTACTACTTTAATTCTCCCGCGAGTGTGATGTCGCCCGCAAAAATATCTTGTCCTGTGTGCCCTAAGGTAGTGATTTTTATGTGTAACCCAACTTGTTGGGTCTGTGTATGATTTTAAGTGTAGTGTTTTTCTGTATTTATCTATTTTATTTAGTCGGAATGTCCCGTTTGTGAGGGACTGGATCATGTTCCTGAGGGGCCTGTGCCGCCCCCCGCATCCTGGGAAGTGCCGGGATCGCATCGCCCTCCGCTGGGTCCTTGCCAGGGCCGTGCCATAGAGGCTCGTGTGGAGCCGTTGCGACAGAGCGGGGCTTCTCAAGTCGCCCTTCAGGGACAAATTGTCCGTGAACGTGGCAGGGGTACGCCGCCGCCCTAGGTGAGTGCGTTTTCCCGTTAATCTTCTAGATATAATTTTAAACGGTTTGCATGCGTCCTTAAGGTGGTTCTTCCCTTTTTTATTGTATAATTCTCATTAGGATGTTTGTCTATTATTTCATAAGGTCCTATCTACATAGAATCTAATTTCTTTGATCTTCCTCGTCGTATCGTTTCGTCGTGTAGCAGTACTTCATCGCCTATATCTGGTATAGTTTTTTTCGTATTCCGATCGTAAAATTTTTTACTTCTTTCTTTTTCTTTTTTGACGTGCTCCCGAGCTGTTTGGTTCGTTGCTCGGAGCCGCTGTTTTATTTCTTGTGCATAGTCCTCTATGCTGTATGTAGTTTTTGGTGGTAATAGTACGATGGTACGATAGTAGGGTTGCCTGATATCCATATACCAGTTCAAATGGCGTATAATTAGTTGCGGAATGTGGAGTTGTGTTGTACGTAAAGATCGCGTATGGGATCCATTCGTCCCAATCTGTTTGGTCGTTATTTATGTAATGTCGAAGGTATTCTGTGAGTGTTCGGTGTGATCTCTCCAAGGCTCCGTTACTCTGTGGGTGGTACGCCGTAGTTTGGATTTTTTCTATCTTCAATAATTTGTATACCGATTTGAAAATTTTGCTCAGGAAGTTTGTTTCTTGGTCCGTTAGTATTTTCCCCGGTATTCCATATTCTAGTATTATCTTTTCTGTAAATACTTTCGCGATGGTGGACGCTTCTTGGTTAGCTATAGGAATAGCTTTGCTAAATTTGGTCAGTACGTCCTGAAACATTAGAAGATACTTGTTTCCGTTTGTTGTTACGGTTAGAGATCCTACTATATCTAACGCGCATTTCTCGAACGGCTTAGTAGGTGTGTCCGTAATAATCATTGGCGATTTCTTCTGAAGGCTTAACTTATTCTTCTGGCATAGAACGCATTTGCGTATATGTTGTGTTACATCTCTTGTTATTCCTTTCCAGTTGTGGTTTAGACGTATTCTGTTTAATGTACGTTGTACCCCTTGATGCCCTCCTAATGGTGCATCATGGTATTCGAAAAGTATCTGTCTTTTTTCTTTCTCTGTATAGTCTCGCATATTATATTCGTTTATATTCTTATCTTCTTCTTCTTCTTCTGTTACATTCGTCTCGTCTGTCACATGTGGAGCATTTGCTTGTATTATTGATATTGGAGGATATCTGCTTAATGCGTCGGCATTTACATTCGTTTTCCCTGCTTTATGAATTATCTCGTAATTGTATTCCTCTAGTTTTAACCTCCATCTTATTAGTCTTGATCTGGGATCCGTAACGTTGAACAGCCAGATTAACGGTTTGTGATCCGTTACTATTTTAAATCTGGTTCCGTAGATGTAATGTCTAAAGTGTTTTACGGCCCAAACTATTGCTAATAGTTCTTTCTCGGTCGTGTTATAGTTTTGTTCTGCGCGCGATAATACACGGCTCGCGTAGGCTATCGGGTTGTCGCTTCCTATTTGGCCTTGTGATAATATAGCTCCAATTGCATGGTCGGACGCGTCAGTCGTAACAACGAATTCTTTCTCAAAATCTGGATATTTTAACATTAATGTAGTGGTTAATTTTTCTTTCAATATGTCGAACGCTATCTGTTGTTGACTTCATTCAAATTTTTCGTCCTTTTTTTGTAAGTTTGGTTAAAAGTCGTGAAATTTTCGAAAAGTTTTCAATGAATTTCCAATAATATCCAGCGAGCCCTATAAAAGATTGGATGTTTTTAATTTTTGTGGGAAGTTTGTTATAGCGTCTATTTTTTTCGGATCTGATAGAATTCCCCTTTCTGAAATTATGTGCCCTAGGTAAGTCACTTCCTTGCTGTCGTAGGAGGTGAGTGAGAAATCACCTCTTATGGATGTATCGTTAACAGAGCTTACTGAAGGTAACCGCTCGTCTCCTAACTCGAGTATTTACGTTAAGTTGTACCGGTAGTATTATACTATTATCTAATTCTCCGAATGGAAATTCAATTCGAATTCGCTCTATTGCCACATGCGCGGGAGAATTGATTGTGTGAGAACTGTTGTCGTTAAAATTTAAAGTGCACTTTGTCTAATTGTTCTTTTTGTATTATTAATAATAAACGCGCAAGTTTGAAATTGTCTAACCCAGCGAGTCGTCTTATGGTTCTAGTTGCGGGTTCGCTACGTAACCAAGTGCGATTTTTTATTGATTCACGGAGAATATTGCTTCTTTCCGACATTCAATACGCGTTTTATATAACAATGATTTCTTAACTTACATTATCGTCGTGAGACGCATGTTGTATTCCGCTGCGTTTGCAGTATTACTGTTACGCGATCCGTTGCCGGTCGTCGTTTAGTGTCAAGGTCAAATCAGCTGGGCTGCTTCTGCTCCCTGTATGTTGTTCCGCTGTACGATGCTTGGGGCAAGTTAGCTCGGTATGCTGACGTACTGTAGGCTTTGGTGTTGCTCACAGCAGGCGTTTGATGATCGTATCTCCGACGATCGTCCTCGGTTCTACTGTGGCGTCGTCTTTTCCGGTTCCTCAGGTCTCCTTGATATGCTTTTGATGGGGCGTCGAGATGTTTTCTCGTATTCGTCTCTCAGAGTTTTTCGTGATTCTCAAATTTTGGATTTCCCAAATAGGATCACGGAGGGCTTATAGCTTTCTCTCTTTTTTTTTCACTCACTTGACCTTCCACTTCTTCCTTTCTGTTGCAGGCTTGGACACCGTGGATCCCACCGCTGCCACCAAATTTTGTTGTGCTCTTAGTGGCGACGAGCACCGGTAGCGTGCAAATAGTGCAGGGTGGAGAATAAGTAGTCGTGGAATTTTAATAAAGTTTGTGATATAATTTATTTGGTTTCTCTTCTTATAACTCCTTAATAATTTTCTTGTTGTATTCGTATTTACACTTGTGTAGTTTTGACTCGTGTTACACTGTTTCGGTTAACGTATCGCGTTATCGTTATGTTTGACACTCACGTTACTCGCGAATCGGTTATCTCATATCTGAGATGCGTAACGTGCGCGTTCTTTGACTAGACAGTTCTGCGGAGTAGTTGGTCCTACTCTTTTTATATTATTCTTAAAATTAGGGAATTAGGTTACCGGCCTAATTACCTAACAGATCAAAAGTATAACGCGATGTTCTATGCAGCGCGTGCACTTTTGATTTGCTTGCCGTATTACGCGCTGTCTGTTTATGTAACGCGTGCATTTTGGCTAAAACGTCTTTTAGCGTTTCATCATGGTTGTCCTACGTAACAGCGTACTTCGACTGAACAAGATCTCTTTTGAGTGGCTGGTCCTACTCTTTTATATTATCCGCTGACCGAGAATACTAATCTTCGTAGAATAAGAAGAGGTTATTACGAATTTTAGTCTTGATCGTTCGTTAGTTGACACGTGCAAAAACTGCTTTCACATGCACCAATTTCTACTCACGATTTACCACTTGCTCACATTGTTGTGTTACGATTTGCATTGATTCGATTGTCTCTTCATGCAGGTATCCCTTATTTGAATAGGCGTCTCGATTGTAATATTGTCTGAAGTTGTCTCGCAAGTTGTCTGAAGAAATTTTACTCCGTACAAAGTATATATATGTTTGGACGCTGTTGACCTTAAGGATCCAAAAAAAGCGTTTCGACAGTGACAGAAACTTTGACTCCCAAGCAGCACACATCAGCACGGGAGGGAATACGCACACACTCACGGACACGGTTGCGAACTAAGTTCAAAGTGCACATATATACGGGCACGTTTGTGTGCGTCATCCCCTCTCAATATCATCGGTGCTGTAGGGAAAGATTTCTGGCCACACTGTGGGAGAGTGAACGAATGTTACGATCACTTTTCTTTGAAGCGTACTAATAAATGATCCGTTATTACTTGACCTTTTGATTACAATATGAGCTATCGTTACGCGGATGTTTTGAAGCGAGAGCCGGCCGGAAGGGTTGGCGCCTTGTTTTTATTTTCTCCGATTTTCAGATCCGAGGAGATGGCTTAGGTTACAACATGGATCGCTAATCCCGGGCAAGTATGCCCGAAATCAGCATTCTCAAAAGTGTAACGCAGTGCAACTTCAGCACTTTCGCGGTATTTGCACTTCGCGTAGTATTTCCCAACGCGGTCGAATTATTGTTATCTTATAATAAACCTACCGCCTAGCAACGGAGATGTTAAATTATCGTTACAACAACAGATGTAATACTTGTATTACAATTACTTTGCCCTATTTATTGGGTAAGACCGACTTTTAGTTGTACCTAGCAACGGAGGCTAATACTGTTTATGTTAGTATTTATGTTTATGTGGGCAGCCATAACATATTGAACTTTAACTTAATTTTTAAAAATTAATTTTTAAAAGGAACTATAAAATATAATTGCAGTATATTTATAGTATTTGTGTATCTCATTTCATAGTATTCTTAAAGCTTTTATAAAAAATTGTTCAGAAAAAATTGTTCAGAGATAGAGTCGGAAAGTTTCATTTCGACATCATTTATCCTAATCTTTTTCTCACTCACTGCAGACTGCTTCTTCGGCCGATTTACAGATGCGAAAATATCGAGGGAGATTATCGGATGTAGGACGCGCGGCGCTTCGATTTTTTAAGCATCATCTATCTTCTCGAGCTTTGTTCGCGACAAATATGTTTCGCGTGGTCCGAGTGCTGTCCTCGGTAAGCCGTGACATTGGAATAGAAAGCGGGCGCAGCTGTTGAAATGCGCGGTGGTTCGCATCGATTTTGAAATCGCGCGGACGCGAGACTTGGCGCGGCGTGGCGCGATGAAAACCATGGAGAACGCAGGAATGTTGCGCAAACATTTCAAGCGCCATTGACGTGACGAATTCAATAGCTTCACACCGGGGAAACATTTGAGTTGCCGGTCACACGCGAGAAAACGCATACGATCTATTATTAATGCCGTTCATGGTCTCGTCGATACACGGATTAATAATTCCAATTACGCAGAGAAAGAGAGGGAAATGGGAGCTCATTACGTGGAATCTGCGTTAGAATATTCTCTGTGATTTACCAGCTTTTTCACATCAACGACGAGAACGAGTTTATGGAATGGATGGAAAGCTGAGAGTCGCATTAGTCTGGAACAGACAATTCAAAAAATGTGTGTGAGTGTGTGTGAGAGAGAAAGAGGGAAATGTGGTTGGAGTAAAAATGACATTGGTAATAATTAAGTATTTTTTTAAATTATTTATATGATAGCTTCTTTTCCTTTCTTTCAGTTATGGTTGCGTGCGATGTTTATTTATGAATTCGATTGAATGCACTAGTGCACAACCAATTTATATATAAATTATAAATTTACCAATTTATTTTAAGATCGTTATTATAATCTGTTCTTATATTTAAGATTGTCTTAAATCTGTCTCTGGATGTTTCGTAGACAATGAAACAATTTGTACAGCATCTGAAGATGATCTTATATTACCCTTATCATAAGAGAAACATAAGATCCTCCGTTCCTTTTGTATCGTTTCGCTGTTGTTTCTATTTCGTTGCATTTAAAAGTATGCAATACTGTTCGCCTAACACGTACTTCTGTAATCCTTATGCAAGAGAAACAGAGTATCTTCTTTAAAAGTACAGAGTATCTTCTTTAAAAGCGGTTGGTATTATTTTTTTATTCTTTTTTTTTAGAAATATAGATATAAAGAGATTTATTAACTACTTACTTGCTATGTTTATGTGTGCTAAGATTCAATAAAACTTTAACATTTAGTAAATCAAATTTCACTAAACTTTTCAATTCGTTTTTTACGTGTCTGTACGTAATGTGATATATTAAACTGTTAAAATGATGGATTGACCAAATAATCAATAGCCATAATGTAAACGCATAAGACTAAGATTGTTGATGTGAATTATTAGAAAAACTAATGAATTTTGACTTAGTAAATGTTAAAACTTTATTGAAGCTTAGATTTGTATTAATAGTCGTTACTTTTGAAACTTATTTCAAACAGAACATTAAGATCTGAATTTAGAGATAAATGCAAATTCTTTAATTAAGTCGTGATTACAAGTATATTGTGTGTGTCATACATATATTATAAGATTTAACCGGAAAAGTCAGATCTGATTCTAAATTCAAATCTTAACTAACAAGTTCCAAGTATAACGACTGTTAATATAGATCTTAGACGCATATTAATAGTTATTATTTAAAACTAGTCTCAAGTAAGATATTTAAATTTAAATTCAGAGTTTGCTGGGTTTTTTAGTTGAAATGCGCGCGAATTACAAATATATAAATGCCACATATATCATAATGCAACTTGAATCTAACTCTGAATAAAAACCTAATATCTCACATGAGACAAATTTTAGATAAGAATATGTTAATATTATAACATAATGTTAATTTAGATGATAATATACATGTTTAGATGATAATATACATGTCTAATATAAATGTTAGACCAGTATTTGAAACATTATGAAGTCATTAAATTGAAACTTATCTCAAGTGGAATACTCAGATCAGATCTGATTTTAGAGTTAGGTTTGAGTTTTTTACTTGAATCATATAATATATGTAACATTACATTTGTAACTGTGAAAAACTCACATCTAACTCTAAATTCCAATCTGAGTATCTTACTTGAGACATATTTTAAGTAACGACTATTATTAATATATAGAGCTAGATGTGAATTTTTCAGTGTTATATCTAGCTCCAATTTTAAATCTGAGTATCTCACTTGAGACAAGTTTCAAATAATGACTATTAATATGGATGTATTTTACGTGAGATATCTTTTGTTCTCTTCTGCAATATAAAAAATCTGTATAAAAGTACTATCAGAATTCTCTCGTTTCGACATTCACGAAAATAGAACATAGTTTTACTAGCGCCCGGTCGATTAAGTGTTGAGCATAATTGTAACAACTACTTAACGATTTCCGTTTGGACAATAATAATGAAATACGAATATATTTGAAATACGAATATAGTTGAATGTTATGGAACAAAAATAACGCGTCGATAAATCACATGGAAAAACTGCAGCAACAAAATTGCAGTCACAAAAGCGCCGATAAATTACAAGTCAAGTCGGCCCTGTTAATAACGCGCCGATCCCAAAATTACGCTGGCGAGTTGAGGGCGTCGTAAAAGCGCGCTAATAAATGCGAAGTCGGAATCGCGCCAACGGGTCGCAATCAAAAGTGCACGCTGATAAATTATAGGACGAAGCTGGTCGCTAACAATTTGCAAGTCAGAAACCGCGAGACGGCGCATTCGCGAGCGAATAAATCACGCGTCAAAATTGCCGCATCGACGACGATAAATTGCGAACTAAGGAGTTGACGATCCAAGGCTCGCACAAATGAGAGAGAGAGAGAGAGAGAGAGAGAGAGAGAGAGAGAGAGAGAGAACTACAAGATATATGTACGTCGCGCTTCGTTGGCGATTTTATCCTCGCTCTCGTGCTGCAAAGAACAAGCGCGACGAGTGAAAGCGACGACGAAATGACGAAGGCGCTTCTTTTTTCGCTCTCCCGCACTGTCATCCTGAGTCCATCCGGAAGAGGAAAGTCCTTTCAACGGCCGACTGGAAAAACATGGTCCCCGGCTGGCGGCGACGAGGAAAAAGAAGCGACTCTCGGAAGCGATCGTGCAATAAATTCGCGCCGCACTCGCAGGTGCATCTCAGTGCCCCGTCTCGTCCTCATCCTTCTATTCCTGTACGCGTTCCTAGAACCTACTTCTTGTTCCTCGCGCTCGCGTGTACGCGCGCGCGCGCGTGGGACGATACCGAAATGACGTCGTCGTTGTCATCGTCGTCGACGTGTGTCGGCGCATTGAAGATACTGTGGCTAATGCTGACTTTAGTAATCCTTGTCGATGCTTCGCCGGTCAAAAAGGTCAGAAGGACTCCGGCTGGTTTTCGATATTCCAGAGATTTGAAAGCAGAGTCCACGGGTCAGGGAGGTGTGTATCTCTTCGGTCATATATATATATATATATATTTAATAATATATTTAGTAGATATATATAGCAATATATTCAGTAAATAATATTTAGTAATATATATATATATATATATTTATTTATTTATAATTATAAAACATATATATTTATATTTTTTTTTAATTAATTAAATATAATTTAATATATATTAAAAATATATAATGGTTATGTGTATGTATATATATATATATATATATATATATATATATATATACATTTTTATTGGTAATTTAATGATTTAGTAATATGTTTGATAATTAATAATTAATTTGTATTAATTTATAACTATCGTGCGTGTAATTTTTTCGAGATAATGCGAGTTATCTCACACATAAGTGTCCGCTCACGTGTAGGCACGTATAAATAAATAAATGCGATTTATTTAAAAAGAAAGAACGAATCAAATATATTTATAGAGAATTATCGGTGCTGAAGCAAACTCGAGTAAATTCTGCATATATATGGATATATGTATTTTATGCTGTTCTCGTTCACACTCGGAAATGTCGATGAAATAACCATTTATGACATTGACGATCGGAAATTTAATTGCGCCGATAAAATTCTCGATGGATTACGTGGATTCGTCTATCTTGCTAATTCATATGTGCCGACGAATTAGAAACGTAATGGAACGTGTAGTTTTGAAAGATATATACGCTGTATTTTAATCTGCGAAAATTGATTCTTGTCGTGTATTTTGTTTTTTTCATATGTCTCTCTTTCCTTCTTTCTGTTTTGCATATGTTTTTTAAAATTGCAATTTAATCGAGACAGGTTTTACCTTTAGAATTAGAATCTAATAAGTCATTTTCCATATAACATTGAATATTTCACACACACACACACACACACACTCCACACACACGCACACGCGCGCGCACACACGCACACACACGCGCGTATGCATATATGTGGCGCGCGCGCGTGTGTGTGTGCTATATGATATGTAAATAATATTTTCATCTATAAGCCCCTAAGAGATATTAAATTATCCACTTTCGTCGAAACACACGTAATATCCTTCTCTCCCTTTCTCTCTTTGTACATGCACTTGTGTGCATGATAACGGGATATAATTTCTTTTTATTTTATTATTTTTGCTTGAGAAGATAAAGGATCGTGAGCGCGATTGATAATAAAGTTCGTGCTGGGGTACAACACTCCGCGACCCATACGCGTTACATTTTTTTATCGGGCAAACACGGACAGTTAATTCTCACCTCCGACACGATACGTCCATTTCGTTCTCGGGTAAGGAATACCATCTCTGAATATACAAGTAGATGACCTTGGTACTCCGGATCTCGATAAGGCGGTGAGATAGAGAGAAAGAGAAGAGAGAGAGGGAAAGAGGGAGAGAATACATGTGGTTTACGTCACAATAGAAACTTCTTGCCCCTAGCACGCGCGGTAAACGACCCTGGTTTCTCCGGGCAAATCGACAAGCTCGTTGAAACGAAAGCAGCCTCTCACCGACGACTCAATTTAGATGCTTTACATTTATATTTACATTTTCATTCAAACAGGCGGCGGCGGCAACAAACACTTGGAGGAGGGCATCGGTACAAAACACGATGTGGATCATCACAACGTACACGGCCACGATAGCGACAAGGTATGCGCGATAGACTTTCTTTTTCCCTCGTAGTAGACGTCCAAGTTGTTGTCATAAACGTAGTTTTTTTTTATCATCCATAATCTTCGCCTTTTGTCTCCTTTTCCACCTTCTTAGATTCTCATATATAGAAAAAAGGACACTGTTATTTAGAAAATATCTTTATTTTTTATATGTTAATCTTCAAATGAGATTACGTAGCATTAAATGAAGATAAGTTACTTCCAAGAATATATTTTATATGATTCAACGAAAAAAAATCTGTTTTTATTATTTAAAAATAATTTTCATTAATGGAAAGCGCATAAAATATTGGATAGAGAATATAATAATGTGTGCGTGTTTTAAACGTGTGTTACGCGCGCACGGACGCCCCAGATTCCTTTATCCACTTAAAACTAATATATTCAAATTAACAATCATTATGTTTCATATATAAGCAAGGATAATTAATATAATTTTGTTAGAAGAATTTTAAAATCTTGAATTTCACTAATGTTATTATTTTATTTGAATATTATAATAGTCTCGTATAAGAAGTATAATATAATTATATTGATGATAATGATAGCCTCTTCCTACATTTAAAAACGTCATATCCTAAATTCAATATTTTATACCATTAGTAAAAATTATGTTTGAATAATAAGAACACAGGTTTTTCTTTGTTGAATCATATAAAATACTCGGCGTCGCGCCGCGACCGCGGCGCTTGATATATTCTTGCAAGTAACTTATCTTCGTTTAATGTTATGTAATCTCATTTGAAAATTAAGATGTCAGAAATAAAGATATTTTCCAAGTAAGAATGTCTTTTTTTTCTGTAGATCCTTTCCGTTGTCTCTCTCCCTCTTTCCCGTCGTTCTCTTTGCTTCCCTCTAGAGATATTTATTACGCGGTGGTTTTTGCACGATCGTCGTCCCTAAGGCACAAGGCAAGTCTCGTCCCGTATCCTGCGAACTACGTAATAAGACATTTTACTCCCTTGTGTGCCGTCGAACCCGTGCTGGATACCCTGTTTTACATTTCGATGAGAGAGTCCACCCTCGCGCGCGAGAAACGGGAGCATCTCTTTAAAAGAGCAAGTGAGGATTTGGCGCGACCATTGTGCCGCGAAATCGATGTGTTTGTAATGCTATCGTGGCGCTTCGATGCGAGGTTGGCGCTTTTCAGACAGAAGCTCAGCTCAGCTTTAAGCTCGGCGATGCTTCTCGAGAGACACACTGTCGCTTTTTCATTTTCAATTCCTCGTTTACGCGAGGAAGACCTCCGGGTTCTCTCAGTGCTCGTAAGACAGATTTATCGGCCGTATTCTTCCGCATTGTGACGTAATTTGCTATCGGTGAAGGGTTACAAGGTGTTCCACGAGTTCGAGAAGAACGACAAAGGCCACCACGACGATGAGAAACACGAGCGCAAGTACAATGTGGAGAACGGCGTGTCGAAAAAGAAGCACGACGAGCTCGGTCATTATGATGAGGTGCATCACGACGAGGAAGGCGTGAAGAACGCGAAATTCGGCGAAGAAGGCAAGCACCAGAAGGGATACAGCACGAAGGGAGAGCACAGCGTATTCAAGAAGGTACAAGAAGTGTACGTCAGGGTAACATGTTGCTCTGATGACACAATTAATTCAATTTAATTCAATTAATTGAATTCAAAAAGATCGTTCCATTTCAATTCAATTCAATTCAGTCAAATAAATAAGGGTTTTATAAACAAGTTACACGGAGAGAAAATTTTGTAATAAGAATTTTTTACAATCTCGAGGAACATATCAATGTTTTGCCTACATTTATTATCATTCTGTTTTATATATGCTATTTATATTTTATAGGAACATTAAAACTTCTCTATTTTAAATAATTTAGTAAAATATTATTATGTTCCTTAATAGAAGGATAAACTCCACTAACAATCTGTTTCTGCACTACTAGAAATTATGTCAAAATTGAAAGACAAGAATTTTTGTATAAAAAAGTTATGTCTCAACTTCTCAGTATGTCCCATGATTTCTCGTAAAGACGTAGAGCGGATCGAGATAAATATAAAAGTCCTATACCGTTTTGCGAAAATCGCAATAACGATCGAGATATTAATTTTAGAAGATTTGTGAATGATTACACATGATATAGTAAATGAGCTGTAATAGCGATGTGTGTTGTTGTGTGCTTATATATTAAATTAAATTAAAAAGCTTTTTTTATCATTTTGCAAATAACGATGTAAATATTTAATTATTAATGAAAGAAATGATTACATGATTGTGCGCGATAATGTACAAATCTTCTTTAATTAATGTCTAAAAATCTATGTAGTCATTTGTAAAATGATAGAAGACTTTTTTGTTTAGTTTAACCTAATATATAAGTATACCAGGCAGAGGATGCTACTAGAACTTATCTTCCATATCCTGTGATTGTTCATCAATTTTTTTTAATGGATATCTCGAGATTTATTGTGAATATTGCAAAACGATATGGGACTTTCATGTACTTCTCAATCTGTTCTACATTTCCACAAAAATTGGAGGAAAGTATGGGATACCATGTATAATATATATCTGTATAGCATTAACAAAACATTGTAATGTTGTTGATAGCATTTTCGAGACTTATAACAGATTTAAATTTATAACAGATATAAATTTCAATTTCAGTCTATCATACACAGCAAAGTACAGCGATACATATTGCTTATTGCGTTTTTTTTAGGCACTTATTGCGCCTAAGAAGACATTTTGTTTCAAATAATTATATTCCTCTTGATTCAAGAAAAAAAAGTTAAAATAATCTAGTAGATTTCAAATTAATAATCCATTTTTCAGAAGAGGAATACTCTTTCGGTTAGAGTTTTTGGCTAGAACGTAGAGGATTATAAGAAATATCATCTTGTAAGTGACAAGCTAGAGTTCTCCCTTTTTTGGATGGAGAGAAAGCAGCGTGTGCGGTGAAATTTGTCACTACTTAAATGGCGGTTATCGTTCACGTAATGCTGAAACCGCGAATATTAAAGCTTTCCGAGATTTACGAGATCAAACTGTGTACGGCTTCGGCTGTTGTTATTCGTTTTATCCGGGCTTCCGTGTGATGTTTTTGTATCTAGCATTTCAACATCGTTACAGTTCGCGTTAAGCTGTTTCCACACTATATAATAGGTGTGAGCGAACGTTGACCATGAATGTCGGACCGATATTGAATCAATATCAAAATTAGTGTTAAAATAAAATAGAAAAGAATTGTCACGATTCCTACATATGAGACGATCAATATCGCATTGTAAGATTGGAATTTATTTGTCGTGCTGTGCGAAGCGGGCTTAACTAAATTTTTTATGAGACTCATTGTGTATCTGGTTTAATCGATATACAATAAAAAAATTCTGCTACCGTTTTTCACTATGATTTTATATAACTAAATCTCGATATCAAAATGATCGCTTAGATTTAAACACGACTGTTGTTAGGCGATATTTAATGATTGGTGTTTAAAATGTTAATGTTAGGAAAGAATTCTGTTATTTTCTTTTCTCTTTGATGTTTTTACACCAAATGTTTTAAAGAAATATAATCTTATTCTTAGCGGATCCTTTTATATTTATGGCCTCAAGAGGATTGTTCTAAAATATGAAAGGATTTCTCTAAAATCTAAAAAAAAAAATTCTAACATCCTAGAAAAGAATTTTAAATGCAAAGCGCCATTTTCTATAATCTCATATTCCAAGTAAAAAAAATTCTTACCGAAAGAATATCCTTTTTCTATTGAAAAGTGATCTATTAATTAGAAATTTACCAGACATTTATTTTAACTTTTATTTTTTTAATCAAAAAGAATATATTTATTTGAAGCAGAATGCTTTTTACTAGAAAAAATTTTGTATTAAGAAAACAAGATATATGCTATAGATAAAAATCGAGATTTCTCTAATTTTAAGAATATCGTTCTTAGAATATTTTTCTTTTGGCTTTAGAAGAATCCTTTTGAGGCCATTAAGATGAGATATTTTTTAGGAATAAAATTATATTTTTTTAGGTGTATTATTGTGTTTGTGTTTTAATTAATACGTGTCTTAACTAATGTGCGAATTGTTACCTCAAGGATGAATACGAGAAGAAGCATGATTTTTACGATGAATACCATGAAGACGGGGGACACGAGAAGCACGGCGGTTGGCACGAGGAGCACGAGGCCAAGAAGGGCGGTCACGAAAAAACGGGACATCTGCAAGCTGGGCACCATGAGGTTATTATTCATTGAGATCATTGCGATTATCTTCTCCGCTGAAACATCGCTCCTATATTCGCGTTGCGTGTTGATCACACCACTTTATTTTCCCAGTCATGTTTAAACAAGCTTCTGATTTCAGGGTCACCACGGCTCGGGGAAGAAATACGATGGGGGTCATCATCATCACGAAAAGGGGGGTCACAAAGCGGCCGATGGGCACAGCAGTCATCACGAACACGACGAGAAACATGGCCACAAAGGCGGTTACGCCTCGGGACACAAGTGGTCGCAATCAAATCACCGTTGACGAAACGCGACGGAACTTATCGTTATGTAATTGTCACTTGCTTAGTTTTATTTTACTGGAGATTTCGCGGATCAATCGTGGTTGCGAGTACATGATAACGTTGAACGGGGCATGTCAGACGCGCTAAGCTCGATGAGGGAGCGTTATAGTGATGATAATAATTTTATCTTCGCAGTTGCACGAAAACTGTGCAACTGCGAAGTTTTTTGACTCGAAAACTGTATAATCCGCAAAATTTTCATCTACGTTATCTATAACGAATAGCTTTTCATCTTATTTATTTATAGGGGAACTTTAATATATATATATATATATATATATATATATATATATATATATATATTTATAGAAATTTAATATATTTATAAGACATAACAAAGATTAAACTTGTTTTCTTTGTAGCTAAACATTCTTATATTATAAAAAATATTCTTCATTCGGCAAATACGAATAATATATGCAAAATGGAGACGCTTCATACATTTAATCCATTATGTCTATTACTATTGTACAAAGATTTTTTA